CCATTACTACAAACTTCAACTCTTCCTTCATTAGCATTAGATCCACCAACAAGACGAATGTCAGTGTTATTACATTCAGGCTGTACACCACAAGTAACACCAGCATCTTCAAAATGGCCACAGTTATGAATAGATAGATATGTACAGTTGACAAGGAATCCTTCATTTCCAGTACACTGAACATTGTCCATGTTAATAGGACCAGTACCAGCACCAAAATAGGCATTAGTACGAGCAATAGAAGCTGACAAATAGTAAAAAATCAAACAATAAAATTAAAATAATCTTACTTCCACTAATTCCTAACTGATTACACACAACTGCAGCATCAGCAGATCCCCAGAGATCATCACAGACAGTACCCCATGCTCCATTAATACACACTTCAACTCTTCCTTCATTAGCATTAGATCCACCAACAAGACGAATGTCACTATGGTTACATTCAGGTTGTACACCACAAGTAACACCAGCATCTTCAGAATGGCCGCAGTTATGTATCGATAAGTAAGAACAGTTGACAAGGAATCCTTCATTTCCAGTACACTGAACATTGTCCATGTTAATAGGACCAGTACCAGCACCAAAATAAGCATTAGTACGAGCAATAGCATCTATTACAGTAATTTTTAGTTACATATTATACCCATTAACATTCACATACTTCCACTAATTCCTAACTGTCTACAGACAACAGCAGCATCAGGAGCCCCCCAGAGATCATCACAGACAGTACCCCATGCTCCATTAATACACACTTCAACTCTTCCTTCAGTAGCATTTGATCCACCAACAAGACGAATGTCAGTGTGATTGCACTCATCTGAAAAAAAGATAGTGTTTACAATTAATTTTGCATGGAGTAAAATAAATCTATTTCTTCAAAATGAGAGGTACATATTTTCATTTTGATATCTTCTAAATGATAAATTGCAAATTTTACAATATTGCACTTGCATTTAACATTTATTTTATTAAAAACAATAAGGCCAGCAGTAAGTAAACATTGATTTCCATGCAGTTACACTAATATTAAAATACATCATACTTGGAGCAGCTGCACATGTGACTCCAGCATCTTCAAAGTGATTACAATTGTGATTTGGATTATATGGACAGTCAGTTATAAGTAACTCGTTTCCAGTACACTGGACATCATCTAAGTTGATTGGACCTGATCCTTGACCAAAGTGAGCAAAACTATATGCAATAGCACCTGTAGACAAGAACAGTGAGAGAATCAGTACTTAATACATCATACATAAGCATACCTTCCCATTCATATCCCAGTTGTCTACAGACTACTCTAGCATCCTCATTACCCCAGGAGTCATCACATATAGTGCCCCACCTTCCACCAACACACACTTCGACTCTTCCTTCAGTGTAATTTGATCCTCCAACAAGGCGAATGTCAGTTTCATTACATTCGGCTTCTGAGCAACGAACTGATGCATCCTCAAAGTGAGCACAATTATGGTCTGGGTTGTAGGTACAGTTGACTAGGAATGCTTCAGTACCAGTACACTGGACATCATCCATGTTGATACGACCACTGCCAGCACCAAATGCTGCAAAGGACAGTGCTTGTGCACCTAAATTCATTTAAATCAAAACTTATATTCAGTGAATGCTGTTCTAACCACTTGATGCATATCCTAACTGATTACATACAACTCTAGCATCAGGAGTACCCCATGAATCATCACAGACAGTACCCCAGAAACCATTAATACACACTTCAACTCTTCCTTCTGTAGCATTTGATCCACCAACTAATCTCACTGAACCATGAGTACACTCAGCTAATAATGTAAAATGATCATTATATAGGAATATAGGTATGTGACTATACTTACTTCCTTGTCCTAAGCATTGAACACCAGCATCTTCAGAATGACCACAGTTATCAATTGCTGCATAAGAACAAGCAAGGAGACTGCTCTCACTGCCAGTACACTGTACATCATCTAAGTGAATTGGACCAATACCCTGGCCATAAGTAGCACTACTATGAGCAATGGAGCCTGTAAGAAACAAATAATCAATTCATAAATTAATAATATTATGTAACCTTCATGAGGAAATCCAAGCTGTCGACAAACAACTTGAGCTTCTTCATTTCCCCACAGATCATCACAGGCAGTGCCCCATTCTCCATTCAAGCATATCTCAACACGTCCTTCAGTATAATTCTGTCCACCAACAAGTCTCACTTCACCATCAGTACAATTGGCTATACATGTACATAAAAAGAATAATACTTTACTTTCAATAAACTAACCAGTTCTTGGTACACAGATGACACTTGCATCTTCAGAATGACCACAGTTATGTATTGCAGAGTAGCTGCAATCAGTTAGTTGTGACTCAGTACCAGAGCAGAACACATTGTCCATATTAATGGGACCAGTGCCCAGACCAAAGTAAGCATTACCTATTGCTGCAGCTAGTGATCCATCTAAAATAAAAAATAAATAATAATAACAATGATTCACATAAAGTCTATTATCCATACTGTATCCAAGCTGATTACAGACTACAATAGCATCATTGGTACTCCAGAAGTCATCACAAACTGTACCCCAGGCTCCATTGAGACATACCTCTACTCTACCCTCAGTATCATTAAGACCATTCACTAATCTGACAGCAGTGCTATTGCAACTGGCACTCTGACACATGACACCAGCATCTTCAAAGTGTACACAGTTGTGGTTTGGATTATAAGTACAATTGAATAGGCTAGCTTCATTTCCTGTACACTGCATGTCATCAAGAACAATGGCACCAGAACCCTGACCAAAATATGCACTACCATAAGCAACAGCACCTTTAAAATAATTACATAAAATATCACAATCAAATCAGTTCAGGTCATACCAGAAGAAGGCAATCCTAACTGCCTACAAGCTACTTGTGCATCAGGAAAACCCCAAGAGTCATCACAGACAGTACCCCATGCTCCATTACTACAAACTTCAACTCTTCCTTCATTAGCATTAGATCCACCAACAAGACGAATGTCAGTGTTATTACATTCAGGCTGTACACCACAAGTAACACCAGCATCTTCAAAATGGCCACAGTTATGAATAGATAGATATGTACAGTTGACAAGGAATCCTTCATTTCCAGTACACTGAACATTGTCCATGTTAATAGGACCAGTACCAGCACCAAAATAGGCACTAGTACGAGCAATGGAAGCTGACAAATAGTAAAAAAATCAAACAATAACATTAAAATAATCTTACTTCCATTAATTCCTAACTGATTACACACAACTGCAGCATCAGCAGATCCCCAGAGATCATCACAGACAGTACCCCAAAAACCATTAATACACACTTCAACTCTTCCTTCATTAGCATTGGATCCACCAACAAGACGAATGTCACTATGATTACAGTCAGGTTGTACACCACAAGTAACACCAGCATCTTCAGAATGGCCACAGTTATGAGTAGACAAGTAAGTACAGTTGACAAGGAATTCTTCATTTCCAGTACACTGAACATTGTCCATGTTAATAGGACCAGTACCAGCACCAAAATAAGCATTAGTACGAGCAATAGAACCTATAAAAGTAATTATAGTTACATAAAACCCTTATCCTTAACTTACTTCCACTAATTCCTAACTGTCTACATACAACTGCAGCATCAGGAGCTCCCCAGAAATCATCACAGACAGTACCCCATGCTCCAAAGAGACATACTTCAACTCTTCCTTCAGTAGCATTAGATCCACCAACAAGACGAATGTCAGTGTGATTGCACTCATCTGAATGAAAAGATAGTGCTTATGATCTTAGAATTAATTTTGCATTGTTTTTCAAATGGTACACATATTTTTATTTTAAACAATAAAGTTAAAGTTTTTCAATATTTCACTCCTTTAATGTTATACATTTAACATCTATTTTATTGAAAGAATAGAGCCACCAGTAAAAAGCTATTCATGCACACATTGATTTCCATGCAGTTGCACTGATATTAATATCTTGTATCATACTTGGAGAAGCTGCACATGTGACTCCAGCATCTTCAAAGTGATTACAATTGTGATTTGGGTTATATGGACAGTCAGTTATAAGTAACTCATTTCCAGTACACTGGACATCATCTAAGTTGATTGGACCTGATCCTTGACCAAAGTGAGCAAAACTATATGCAATAGCACCTATAGACAAGAACAGTGAGAGAATCAGTACTTAATACATCATACATAAGCATACCTTCCCATTCATATCCCAGTTGTCTACAGACTACTCTAGCATCCTCATTACCCCAGGAGTCATCACATACAGTGCCCCACCTTCCACCAACACACACTTCGACTCTTCCTTCAGTGTAATTTGATCCTCCAACAAGGCGAACATCAGTTTCATTACATTCGGCTTCTGAGCAACGAACTGATGCATCCTCAAAGTGAGCACAATTATGGTCTGGGTTGTAGGTACAGTTGACTAGGAATGCTTCAGTACCAGTACACTGGACATCATCCATGTTGATACGACCACTGCCAGCACCAAATGCTGCAAAGGACAGTGCTTGTGCACCTAAATTCATTTAAATCAAAACTTATATTCAGTGAATGCTGTTCTAACCACTTGATGCATATCCTAACTGATTACATACAACTCTAGCATCAGGAGTACCCCATGAATCATCACAGACAGTACCCCAGAAACCATTAATACACACTTCAACTCTTCCTTCAGTAGCATTTGATCCACCAACTAATCTCACTGAACCATGAGTACACTCAGCTAATAATGTAAAACGATCATTTATAAGGATACAGTAATATGACTATACTTACTTCCTTGTCCTAAGCATTGAACACCAGCATCTTCAGAATGACCACAGTTATCGATTGCTGCATAAGAACAAGAGAGGAGACTGCTCTCACTGCCAGTACACTGTACATCATCTAAGTGAATTGGACCAATACCACGTCCATAAGTAGCACTACCATGAGCAATGGAGCCTGTAAAAAAGGATTGATTTATAATTTAATGATATTTATTCAACCTTCATGAGGAAATCCAAGCTGTCGACAAACAACTTGAGCTTCTTCGTTTCCCCACAGATCATCACAGGCAGTGCCCCATTCTCCATTCAAGCATATCTCAACACGTCCTTCAGTATAATTCTGTCCACCAACAAGTCTCACTTCACCATCAGTACAATTGGCTATACATGTACATAAAAAGAATAATATTTTACTTTCAATAAACTAACCAGTTCTTGGTACACAGATGACACTTGCATCTTCAGAATGACCACAGTTATGTATTGCAGAATAACTGCAATCAGTTAGTTGTGACTCAGTACCAGAACAGAACACATCGTCCATATTAATGGGACCAGTTCCCAGACCAAAGTAAGCATTACCTATTGCTGCAGCTAGTGATCCATCTACAAATAATAAATCATAACAATGATACAAAAAGTCTAGTACATACTGTATCCAAGCTGATTACAGACTACAACGGCATCATTGGTACTCCAGAAGTCATCACAAACTGTACCCCAGGCTCCATTGAGACACACCTCTACTCTACCCTCAGTATCATTAAGACCATTTACTAATCTGACAGCAGTGCTATTGCAACTGGCACTCTGACACAATACACCAGCATCTTCAAAGTGTACACAGTTGTGGTTTGGATTATATGTACAATTGAATAGACTCGATTCATTTCCTGTACACTGCATGTCATCAAGAGCAATGGCACCAGAACCCTGACCAAAATATGCACTACCATAAGCAACAGCACCTTTAAAATAATTACACAAAATATCACAATCAAAAATCAGTTCAGATCATACCAGAAGAAGGCAATCCTAACTGCCTACAAGCTACTTGTGCATCAGGAAAACCCCAAGAGTCATCACAAACAGTACCCCATTGATAAAACTGACACACTTCAACTCTTCCTTCATTATCATTAGATCCACCAACAAGACGAATGTCTGAATTATTACACTGAGGAGTTCCACCACAAGTAACACCAGCATCTTCAAAATGTGCACAGTTATGAGTAGATAAGTAAGTACAGTTGACAAGGAATCCTTCATTTCCAGTACACTGAACATTGTCCATGTTAATAGGGCCAGTACCAGCACCAAAATAAGCATTAGTACGAGCAATGGAAGCTGTCAAATATACAATCATTAAACAATAACAATATGTTACTCTTACTCCCATCAATCCCTAACTGGTTACATACAACAGCAGCATCGGGTGCCCCCCAGAGATCATCACATACAGTACCCCATGCTCCATTAATGCACACTTCAACTCTTCCTTCATTAGCATTAGATCCACCAACAAGACGAATGTCACTATGATTACAACCTATGCAATAACAGGTGTCAACTATATTCAGCATAGGTGCATGCAGTGTTTTAATGTTTTCTCTTAGGATACAGTGTTAAGCATGAATTCTTTTAAGACTTGTTGTCACATAGTTATGAATTACATACATTCCTACATCATGATCAGCATGTGATGCAAAGGTCATGGTTAATTACAAAAATCATGCATTTTCATTTACAGGCATCATAGATTATAAAATACAGACATTCTACAGGCATACAGTCTACTTTCTACAAATATAAAATTGATTTACTATTATTTGTACATGATAGACTATCATTAGTTAAAATTCAATTATGGTGTAATGTGACATTAAAATACAGACATTATGTATTCAAAAGAGGCACTGTTTGACACAATATGCCATGTTTAATACATCTAGATGATTTTACAAGTATCTTAGCTATTAAACTTTTGTTTGAGAATTAAATCGTATTATAATTATGCAAATTAAGTATAGTGGCCTCTTGGGTGGTCACTGAGTCATATGACTTCAAGTAGTATATTCATTAGTACAGATGAATGGTAAGGCTAGCTACGACATGAAATAGTGCACAAATCAACTTACTCTGTGCATTTACTATCCACAGAATTGAGATTGCAATCAGAAAGATACTCCAGCCACTTTGCCCCATATTGCAAGCTATCAATAAAGAAATTTTATTAAATAGTATACTTGTATGCAAATTTAAGACATGATGTGTACACATTGCAGAAATGCTTTGCTGTTGCTGCATCATTAATGGAGCGGCATGTTAAGTTGCCATAATATCTCTTGATAAGGCTGCATGCATGGACAGATATCAATGCTGAGCAGACATTGCTTTGGTATCCAGTGAGAAAAACAAACCACAATGCATTGCTATTGTGCTCGTTTTTAGTGTGCAAAACTGATCTATTGTGAACATTGGGCACAGTTTCAATGCATTAAACGTTACTACTATTAACGTCATCATGTAATACATGCACGCGCATAGCAAGTCAGGGTTCGCTTTTATTTTAAGGAGATAAGGAGTCATGCGGCAAATGAAAACAAAGGCCACAGGATAGTTTATACAGTTATTTGATATGTTATCTTACCTCTGTGACAAGAGACGCTCTTCTTACACAAAAAATGGCAAGCCCGATCCGCCCTCTATAACGTAAAAGAATGAGCCACGCCCTTGTATTGTATTAATGGAGCCACTCCCTTCGAAAAATGGCTGACTGTGAAGAAGTGAATGGTGAGTATTTCTGAGGCTCTGATCCATTTATTTACCATCTCTGATAGATCCCTCTTCCATTTTGTTTCCGTCTAGTAGTGTCATTAGTAACTGTGGCGGCGGAGGTGGTCTCAGTCCCTCTAATATCATTGTTATTGTAGTTGGAATGCTAGCAGCTGTACTTTTGATGGCTCTGCTGTCTACTGTGGCTCTCTTTTTCGTGTACGTTGCTATTGGTAGTTTTATGTGTACTGTACATGATAGTGGGACTCTCAATTAGAGGTGGGATTGGGACATTACCTGCTGCAACTCAAATAAAAAAATTCTTTCTTGACTTGAAAACACGGGATGCATGTTACTTGCATGCTCAAAGCTGAACAAAATTGGTGGCAACTTTAAATCACTTATGTAAACTTTTGCCTCTATACTTGTGATCCTATTGCTATAGGTTTCGAACTATCAAGTATAGACGAACTAAAGTCACTCCTTTGGGTCCAGTGGAAGCTTCCAAAGCAAAGAAATATGACTCACCACAAAATCACAGCAACATTAGTGGGATTTTTATTGTAGATGGTATAACATGAATAAATAGTAAAACCGATCATTTTGTCATTTTTATTTTTCATGTTTGTCCTTTATATTAATTAACACGGGATAAAAGATTGGTATATAGTCTATAGTCTATGTACATGGTGGTCATGGGCTACATTTGGCAAAATTGACAAGGAGAGAATTCTTCATTTTTATTACATTTTCTGATGCTAATACATGTACTTATGTTGCGTAGAAAGTTTGAATTGATTCTGATTAAAATTGGATTTTTAAAGAGTTTTTTAAGTTGCTCAAAAATTAAGCCAAAGTACCTGTACTATATAGTACAGGGTCACCAGCCAAATTTTGCCAAAATTAGCAAGGAGAGAATTCTTCATTTTTATAATCTTTCTTGATACATATACATGTACTTATGTTGTGTAGAAAGTTTGAACTGATTCCAATCAAAATTAGATTTTTTACGAATTTTGTAAGTTGCTCAAAAATTGAGCCAAAGTACCTGTACTAGGTATAGCAAGGCTGCAAAAGTCGTGGCAGCCATTTTGTTTGGGGGTGAATCCTACTTAGTAACGCTACCGCGTTACTAATAGTACAGGGTCATCGGCCAAATTTTGCCAAAATTGGCAAGGAGAGAATTCTTCATTTTTATAATCTTTCTTGATGCATATGCATGTACTTATGTTGTGTAGAAAGTTTGAACTGATTCCGATCAAAATTAGATTTTTTACGAATTTTGTAAGTTGCTCAAAAATTGAGCCAAAGTACCTGTACTATAAGTACATGGTCATTGGCCACATTTTGGCAAAATTGACAAGGAGAGAATTCTTCATTTTTATTACATTTTCTGGTACATATACATGTACTTATGTTGTGTAGAAAGTTTGGACTGATTCCAATCAAAATTGGATTTTTATAAATTTTTAAGTTGCTTCAAAATTGAGCCAAAGTCCCTGTACTATAGTACATGGTTTTTGGCCACATTTTGCCAAAATTTATAAGGAGAGAATTCTTCATTTTTATTACATTTTTTGAATCTAATACAGAGGCGTATTTAGGGGGGGGGCTGAGGGGGCTTGAGCACCCCCCTCAGGGCTGGGCTCAGAAAAAATTACTGAAGTCCTGGACTCTTGCATCACTACCAAGCCTCTTAACAAAGTTATCTAGCCCCCTTATCATGATTTCAGCAGTTTCCAGTGCTTTAAGGAGCAATCAGAAGTATCAGTAACAGAGCAGTATGCTTGAAATGATTTTGGCCCCACCCGTAATTGACGAAAATGCAGGAAAAGGCCGTTTTACCGCCGTAAAAGTGGGTGTGGCCAAAATCGCGGCGCGCTTCGCGCGCCCTCAGCACCCCCCTTCACCAATTCCTAGATACGCCCCTGCTAATACATGTACTTACGTTGTGTAGAAAGTTTGAATTGATTCTGATCCGAATTGGATTTTTTACGAATTTTTGAAGCTGCTCAAAAATTTACTCAATTAATCCCTGTACTACAAATGAGTTTTTGCTTGTCACGGATTTTGTAGCAATTGAACCAATTGGTTTTTTGCTTGTTTTGGATTTCTTGACAATGGAACTAATGTGTTTTTGTCACAGATTTTGTGACAATGGAACTAATGGGTTTTGCTTGTGAAAAATTTTGTGCCAATGGAACTAATTGGGCCAAAGTCCCTGTACTACAGTACATGGTCTCAGGTCAAATTTTATCAAAATTTACAAAGAGAGAATTCTACATTTTTATTACATTTTCCAATGCATTATACTGTATAGCGGGTATATTCCGTTCAAGTTTAATTTCGTTTTTTTCGTTCTCATTTCTTGTGGAATGAACATTTTCCAAACGAAAAAGGCGTTTCCTTAATGCCACGTGTGCAAAATGGCTGCTCAGAACGAAAATAAAACGAAAGAAAATTTCTAATCCTGCTTAGAACGAACATTTTTCCAGACAAAATATACCCACTATACGGTAAATAATTAGAAAGTGTGAATGATTTACTATCAAAATTGAATTTTGATGAATTGTTTAATTTGCTAGGAGAGAGTTTTCCATTTTACTACATTTTATGACACAATTCTGGCTATTGAAAAAATGGGGGTCTTAGCATACACTTATAAAAAAATTAGTTAATGATTTAGTTAGTAATAATTGTTTCTTGTTTAATCATCATCGTGACCATACATAGGATTAGAGAATTTCTTTTCTGACTCTTCCAGCACAGACCTAAACACTGGACCACTATTAATAGAGTTCGAACCTTTTGTCACTAAATTCTCAAAAACTTCAGCCCCAGTGTTGTACTGATTTTCTCTTTTTCCTCTCAGAACCCTATACCAAACATGTAGAATATTCACACCCCCCACTTTTCTTTAACTTACATAAACACCAGTACTATGACAATGACTCCTATGGTTATCATGACAAGTAATACGACTCCCACAGTAACTCCAACAGTTGTTCCAGTAGATGAAGATGAACTCAGTGTTGCTGATGGTGTAGTAGTGGAAGAGCTGGTTGATCCACTAACTATAACAACTTCTGAAAAAATATTGTAGTTTCCATTTCTTATTCCAGCCTATAAGAAACAAAACAATAATGATAACAATTATATAGGCATTAACTAAATTTTTTTAAATGGCAGAAGCATGTAGACAGTACTTAAAACAGCATGAAATCATAATCCAATCATATAAAGATACCTCAACAGAGACGGTTAGAGCAGTTACTGGTAGCAGGCCAGCTCCATCATTTAGTGTGACAAAGAATGTCACTAATGTTTGGTCATTGGTAGCTCTCTTGTTGGTTGATCCTCCAGACTGTATCCTTGTGATCACCACACATATACTACCATCAGTCCTACAATGAAAATATAGAACTATTGTCTACATACATTATAAGATTGCAAATACTTCATTTCATCTGTCAGTTTTATTGGATTGCAGTCTTGCTTGAAGAATGTGCAGTAGTTCTCTACAATCTCAGCTGTGATTTGCTTAAACCTCTCCTGAGCAGAACTAGTAAACTGGTAATTAAAAAAAATAATTACTATAGCCTAAAACAGATATATACTTACAGTTGCTATACTGTAGTTAGTAAGCAGTGTAGTCATTGTATTTTCAAGAGATATACTTGCTATTGATGAGGGACAAGTAGGAGAAGGAGTAGAGCCTATAGCAATGTAAAATAAAAATTTAATATATGAAGATATACTTGTGATTGTATTAGGTGATGATGAAGATTTGTAGGGGGATATTGAAGATGATGGTGAGGGAGAGGGTGATGTTGTATCATTAAAAGATGGCAAAGGAGATTTATAAGGAGATGGTGATGGAGATTCATTAAAAGATGGCGAAGGAGATTTATAAGGAGATGTAGATGGAGAAAAAGATGGCGAAGCAGATTTAGTAAAAAATCGTGAAAGAGGCTTGGTTAAGGATGGTGAAGGAGATTTATAAGGAGATGGAGATTCATTAAAAGATGGCGAAGGAGATTTATAAGGAGATGGTGATGGAGATTCATTAAAAGATGGCGAAGGAGATTTATAAGGAGATGGTGATGGAGATTCATTAAAAGATGGTGAAGGAGACTTATAAGGAGATGGTGATGGAGATTCATTAAAAGATGTCGAAGGAGATTTATAAGGAGATGGAGATTCATTAAAAGATGTCGAAGGAGATTTATAAGGAGATGGTGATGGAGATTCATTAAAAGATGGTGAAGAAGATTTATAAGGAGATGGTGATGAAGATTCATTAAAAGATGTCGAAGGAGATTTATAAGGAGATGGTGATGGAGATTCATTAAAAGATGTCGAAGGAGATTTATAAGGAGATGGTGATGGAGATTCATTAAAAGATGGTGAAGAAGATTTATAAGGAGATGGTGATGAAGATTCATTAAAAGATGTCGAAGGAGATTTATAAGGAGATGGTGATGGAGATTCATTAAAAGATGTCGAAGGAGATTTATAAGGAGATGGTGATGGAGATTCATTAAAAGATGTCGAAGGAGATTTATAAGGAGATGGTGATGGAGATGCTGAAGTTTTAACAATTGAAGAGGAAAAATCAGAAGACAAAATTATAACTTGACTTGATAATGTCACAGAAGATGATGTCAATACTTGAGTGGAAGACTGCAGCTGTATTGTGGATGATGACGTAACCACAACAGGCAACACTGTTTAAAATAGAGAAATAATAATAATAAATCCTTTAATTGCACATAAACATACATTGGCAGCGAACACCAGCATCTCTTGAATGAGTGCAGTCAGAAGTTATTGAGTCATAAGTACAGTCAATGAGTCTTGCTTCATTGCCAGAACACTGAACATCATCCATGAATATCTTACCAACTCCAGAACCGAAATTATTATTAGTAAAAGCAACAGAATCTATTATTAATACAGCACAATAGAAATAATTATATAAAATCATATTCATCATTACTATTTTCAGAGTATCCAAGTTGCTTGCATACAACACTGCTGTCAGGTGTACCCCAGTAATCATAGCACACAGTACCCCATTCATTGTTCATGCAAACTTCAACTCTTCCTTCATATGCTACAGAACCACCAACTAACCTCAACTGACCATTAGTACATGGAGCTACAGCATAAAAGAAATAATTTAAAATAGCTAAAGATATTATTAACACAAACCTTGACAGGTGACTCCAGCATCATCAGAATGACCACAGTTACTAGTACCCAGTATTGAACTAGGACAGTATATTAGTTTAGTATATGAAGAACTGCAAGCTACATCATCCATCCATATCTTACCACTACCAGCACCAAAATGAGCACTAGAATGAGCAATACCATCTAAAATTTATAGATCTACATAAATTTAGAAAACTTTATGACATCTTACACCCAGCATAAGAATATCCCAATTGTTTACACACAACAGTAGCATCATTAGAGTCCCAATAATCATCACAGACGGTGCCCCATATTCCATTAATGCATATTTCGACTCTTCCTTGATATTGATTGGACCCACCAACTAATCTAACATCACCATAAGTACAATTCACAGTTGAATTAACTGTAAACAGAATGATTATAACTAAATCAAAACTACATGTAGCTAACCAAGGCATCTTATACCAGCATCTTGACTGTGACTACAATAGCTACCAGCAGAAGCCTTGCTGCAGTTACTAAATGTTAGTTCATTTCCAGTGCATGCAACATTGCGATACAGTATAGGGCCAGTACCAGAACCAAACTTAGCAGATGAATAGGCAATGGCTCCTAAAGAAGTAACAAAACTTAAGTATATCTAATATCAATAATATTAGGAAAACCTTCTGTTAGATATCCCAATTGACGACAAGCTACTTGAGCATCAGTTGCTCCCCAAGAATTATGACAAATTGTTCCCCAATTATTATTCAAACAATATTCTACTCTTCCTTCCTGAGGAACATTAGTATTTCCTGCTAGCCTGATCTGCCCATTAGTACATGGAGCTAGAAATACAAAAGTACAATATTGCTATTGAAAAGGTTCATACCTTGACAGGTAACTCCAGCATCATCAGAATGACCACAGTTACTAGTACCCAGTACTGAGCTAGGACAGTATATTAGTTTAGTATATGAAGAACTGCAAGCTACATCATCCATCCATATCTTACCACTACCAGCACCAAAATGAGCACTGGAATAAGCAATACCGTCTACATAAATTATTTAACTTTAAAAATAAAATGGAATGACATCTTACATCCAGCATAAGAATATCCCAATTGTTTACACACAACAGTAGCATCAGTAGAGTCCCAATAATCATCACAGACAGTACCCCATATTCCATTAATACATATTTCAACTCTTCCTTGATATTGACTAGATCCACCAACTAATCTAACGTCACCATAAGTACAATTCACAGTTGAATTGACTGTAGATAAAAATCATTATGAGTATGTGACTATAATTCACAGCTAACCAAGGCATCTTATGCCAGCATCTTGACTGTGACTACAATAGCCTCCAGCAGAAGCCTTGCTGCAGTTACTAAGTGCTAGTTCATTTCCAGTGCATGCAACATTGCGATACAGTATAGGGCCAGTACCAGAACCAAACTTAGCAGATGAATAGGCAATGGCTCCTAAAGAAGGAAAAAAACTAAAACTCACTATACAGTTTTGAATTTTGCAAACCTTCTGTTAGATATTCCAATTGACGACAAGCTACTTGAGCATCAGTTGTTCCCCAAGAATTATGACAAATTGTTCCCCAATTATTATTCAAACAATATTCTACTCTTCCTTCCTGAGGAACATTAGTATTTCCTACTAGTCTGATCTGCCCATTAGTACATGGAGCTAGAAATACAAAAGTACAATATTGCTATTGAAAAGGTCCCCATACCTTGACAGCTGACTCCAGCATCATCAGAATGACCACAGTTACTAGTACCCAGTATTGAACTAGGACAGTATATTAGTTTAGTATATGAAGAACTGCAAGCTACATCATCCATCCATATCTTACCACTACCAGCACCAAAATGAGCACTGGAATAAGCAATACCGTCTAAAATATTATGTGGAAAGATTAAACTTATTTAATCATTTATCTTACTTCCACTATAGCTATAACCAAGCTGTTTACACACAACGGTAGCATCATTAGAGTCCCAATAATCATCACAGACAGTACCCCATATTCCATTAATACATATTTCAACTCTTCCTTGATATTGATTAGACCCACCAACTAATCTAACATCACCATAAGTACAATTCACAGTTGAATTAACTATGAATAAAATTCATTAAAAATGCTAAGAAAGAGTGTACATACCAAAACATCTCACACCAGCATCTTGTGAATGTGAACAACTTGATCCAGAACTTTTACTACATGCACTTATAGTAGTTTCACTTCCACTGCATCCAACAGAAGTGTAATATATTGGGCCAGTACCTGAATCAAACTTAGCTGAATTATATGCAACAGCCCCTAAAATTGAAAGCATTTATTTTAAATCATAATAAAACTATACTACCTGTTGTTGGATATCCTAGTTGATAACAAGCTACTTGAGCATCAACTGCTGACCAAGAATTATGACATATTGTTCCCCAATTATTATCCAAACAATATTCTACTCTTCCTTCCTGAGGAACATTAGTATTTCCTGCTAGCCTGATCTGTCCATTAGTACATGGAGCTACAAATACAAAAGTACAACATTGCTATTGAAAAGGTTCATACCTTGACAAGTGACTCCAGCATCATCAGAATGACCACAGTTACTAGTGCCCAGTATTGAACTAGGACAGTATATTAGTTTAGTATATGAAGAACTGCAAGCTACATCATCCATCCATATCTTGCCACTACCAGCACCAAAATGAGCACTGGAATAAGCAATACCGTCTAAAATATTATGTGGAAAGATTAAACTTATTTAATCATTTATCTTACTTCCACTATAGCTATAGCCAAGCTGTTTACACACAACAGTAGCATCATTGGAGTCCCAATAATCATCACAGACAGTACCCCATATTCCATTAATACATACTTCAACTCTTCCTTGATATTGATTAGATCCACCAACTAATCTAACATCACCATAAATACAGTTTACACTTGAATTAACTATAAATAAAATTTATTAATAAAATGCTAAAACATTATAAACATACCAAAACATCTCACACCAGCATCATATGAATGGGAACAACTTGATCCAGAACTTTTACTACATGCACTTAGAGTAGTTTCACTTCCACTGCAACCAAAATAACGCCAATATACTGGACCAGTGCCAGAACCAAATTTAGCTGAACTATAAGCAATAGCTCCTAGTATCATGAGTAACAACTATGTACTACATAATGCTATCTGCTAACCAGTTGTTAGATATCCTAACTGATAACAAGCTACTTGAGCATCAGTTGCTCCCCAGGAGCTATCACATATTGTTCCCCAGTTATTATTCAAACAATATTCTACTCTTCCTTCCTGAGGAACATTAGTATTTCCTACTAGTCTGATCTGTCCATCAGTGCATGGAGCTACAAATACAAAAGTACAATATTGCTATTGAAAAGGTCCATACCTTGACAACTCACTCCAGCATCATCAGAATGACCACAGTTACTAGTACCCAGTATTGAACTAGGACAGTTTATTAGTTTATTGTATGAAGAACTGCAAGCTACATCATCCATCCATATCTTACCACTACCAGCACCAAAATGAGCACTGGAATAAGCAATACCATCTAAAAAATTGTGAGGAGAGATTAGAATTATTTAAATCATTATCTCACATCCACTGTAGCTATAACCAAGCTGTTTACACACAACAGTAGCATCATTGGAGTCCCAATAATCATCACAGACAGTGCCCCATATTCCATTAATACATATTTCAACTCTTCCTTGATATTGATTGGACCCGCCAACTAATCTGACATCACCATAAGTACAGTTCACAGTTGAATTAACTATAAATAAAATTCATTAGTAAAATGCTAAAAAATGATGTACATACCAGAACATCTCACACCAGCATCATATGAATGGGAACAACTTGATCCAGAACTTTTACTACATGCACTTAGAGTAGTTTCACTCCCACTGCAACCAAAATAACGATAATATACTGGACCAGTGCCAGAACCAAATTTAGCTGAACTATAAGCAATAGCTCCTAGTATCATCAATAACAACTATGTACTACAAAATGCTATCTACTAACCAGTTGTAAGATATCCTAACTGATAACAAGCTACTTGAGCATCAGTTGCTCCCCAGGAACTATCACATATCGTTCCCCAATTATTATTCAAACAATATTCTACTCTTCCTTCCTGAGGAACATTAGTATTTCCTACTAGCCTGATCTGTCCATTAGTACATGGAGCTACAAATACAAAAGTACAATACCGTATAGGGGATATATTTCCCAGGGAAAATATTTCACAGAAATCACCTTTTAACCTATTCACAAGAAAAATTTTTGTGTTTTTCTTGTACTAATCATTATTAGTATGATAAAAAATAATTTTCACGAATTTTTTAAAACCGTGAAATTAGTGAAATTAAATCACCATGAAATATACGCCCTATATGGTAATTGCTATTGAAAAGGTTAATATTCTTACCTTGACAGCTGACTCCAGCATCATCAGAATGACCACAGTTACTAGTACCCAGTATTGAACTAGGACAGTATATTAGTTTAGTATATGAAGAACTGCAAGCTACATCATCCATCCATATCTTGCCACTACCAGCACCAAAATGAGCACTGGAATAAGCAATACCATCTAAAAAAATTATGTGGAAAGATTAAACTTATTTAATCATTTGTCTTACTTCCACTATAGCCATAACCAAGCTGTTTACACACAACAGTAGCATCATTAGAGTCCCAATAATCATCACAGACAGTACCCCATATTCCATTAATACATACTTCAACTCTTCCTTCATACTGATTAGATCCACTGGTTAATCTGACATCACCATAAGTACAATTCACAGTTGAATTAACTATAAATTAAGTTTATTAATAAAATGCTAAAAAATCATGAACATACCAAGGCATCTCACACCAGCATCATATGAATGGGAACAACTTGATCCAGAACTTTTACTACATGCACTTAGAGTAGTTTCACTTCCACTGCATCCAAAATAACGCCAATATACTGGACCAGTGCCAGAACCAAATTTAGCTGAACTATAAGCAATAGCTCCTAGTATCATTAGTAACAACTGTACAATGCAACAAAACTATAATACTGACCTGTTGTAAGATATCCTAACTGATAACAAGCTACTTGAGCATCAGTTGCTCCCCAGGAGCTATCACATATTGTTCCCCAATTATTATTCAAACAATATTCTACTCTTCCTTCCTGAGGAACATTAGTATTTCCTGCTAGCCTGATCTGCCCATTAGTACATGGAGCTATTAAAAGTATCATTAAATGTACAAACTGAATTAGGTAGCTCTACATACCTTCACAGCCAACCCCAGCATCTTCAGAATGTGAGCAAGTTGTACCAAAGATTGAACTGGAAGTACAAGCAAGGAGAAATGTTTCAGTTCCAGCACAAGCCACATTCTCAATGGCTATAGTACCATTACCTTGACCAAAGTATGCACTACCATAAGGCTTGGCATCTAAAAATTTACTTAAGGCAATATCCTTTGAATCTCACTTATTCTTACTTCCAGAATATGCATATCCTAGTTGCTTGCATACTACAGTAGCATCAGGAGCTCCCCAACCATCATCACAGACACTGTGCCAGCTACCATTTATACAAACTTCAACCCTCCCCTCATATTGGTCACTGCCTCCAACAAGCCTTATGTCACCATGAGTACATCCAGAGACTACATAACATATATAGACAGCATAACAATAATATGTTAACCTGTACCTTCGATAGAGGACATCAAGAGAATCAATAATCCATACAGTAGAAGCATCATTAGCTTTGTTTATTCTTCTCTTGTTGGAAATGATCCAGCTTATCAGATAGTGCATAGTAAATCCCCCACATTCCACAGATGACATGCATACACAAAGCACATGCCAGTACATGCATACATGCATACAATACAGGATGCATTGCAGAGTATGAAATAACTGTCTCACATTCCATCCTTACCACAACATAGGCACTACAGTAATTAACTTAGAAATAATAGTAAGACAGCCCACGGCAAGGACTCTCCCTCATAACTAATAAGTATGCTAATCAGCTATCATTTATTATACACACATAAAGCAAAATTTGCATAAGCACTACTATGATTATCTCTGCTTCACTACATACATAGATCTACACTGAGCAAGTAGTCTAGCATCGTTAGTAAGCAGTATCTTTTTCTTTTCAAAAACTGCACTGTGACCATGAACGAAATTTAATTTTTGATGTTCATGCTTTTAAAAATCAAGGGACAAAACTGTGACCATGAACGAAATTTAATTTTTGATGTTCATGCTTTTAAAAATCAAGGGACAAAAGTTACAAAGGATGTAACACAATAAAATAATTTACATAATAAAGGGTAGCTATGCTAGTTCAGGTGCATTAAATTTTGTAGAAGCATTAACAGTATCTCTTATTATCACAATTAAACAGCTTATTCTATTAATTATTAGTTCATATGCTCATATCCATCATCCTCATCAAGTTGACCATACAGAGGGTTACTGAAGGTAGCCTTTTCAGATTCCTCATAAACAGATTTTAGCACAGTATTGCCACCATAGCGATTGTTAGTAGTTGCATCTGCAAACGTTGCTCCATCAATATTGTATTTACTAGCACGTCTTCCCTTCAGAATCCTATAAAATACAAATCAGATGGAATTCATTTTAAAATATTTTACAATCTCACACTAGTTTAATGTTAATGGAAATAACTTACATAAACACCAGTACTATGACCACAACTCCTATCGTTATCATTACTAGTAATACAACTCCTACAGCAACTCCAACAGTTGTTCCAGTAGATGAAGATGAACTCAGTGTTGCTGATGGTGTCATGGAAGAGCTGGCTGATCCACTAACTAAATAAACTCTAGTGAAACTATTATAGTTTCCATTGCGTATGCCAGCCTATAAAAATGAAGCATAATTATAGGAGCTAGTAGATAGTGATAATTATGTACTTCAACAGAGACGGTCAGAGCAGTTACTGGTAGTAGGTCTGCTCCATCATTTAGTGTGACAAAGAAAGTAACTAATGTTTGGTCATTGGTTGATCCTCCAGACAGTATCCTGGTGATCACCACACATACACTACCATCAGTCCTACAATGAAAATACATTAAAATTTTCAGTGTCCAGTATGTAGCCCAAGTCGTAGTTCAATTGCTATATATATTTATATATTTACATACTTTGTAGTGTCTGTGAGTTTTATTGGATTGCAGTCTTGCTTGAAGTATGTGCAGTAGTTATGTACAATCTCAGCTGTGATTTGCTTAAACCTCTCCTGAGCAGAACTAGTGAACTGTCAAATGAACAAAGGAACCAATTAGAAACTGTTAACTAAAAATCCCTCAACTCAAGAACTTAGCCAATTTTAGACACAAAGTCAAGTATATGTACAAACACAAATAGGTGTATATGCATTAGTAAATGTGATAAAAATTAAGACTTCTCTCAGAGCCATTTTTGACAAATACCCTGATTATTATTTGATTTTTGAGAAACTTAAAAAATTCATAAAAAATCTAATTTCAATAGGAATCTGTTAAAACTTTCTACGCAACATAAGTACATGTATTTGCATCAGAAAAAATTATAAAAATGAAAAAATTTCTCCTTGTCAATTTTGATGAAATTTGGCCCGAGACCCTGTACTGTAGTACAGGGACTTTGGCCTGATTTTGGAGCAACTTCAAAAATTTATAAAAAATTCAATTTTGATCAGAATCAATTCAAACTTTTACACAACATAAAAACATGTATTTCCATCAGAAAAAAATTATAAAAATGGAGAAATTTTTTCTTATCAATTTTGATAAAATTTGGCCCAGGACCATGTACTGTAGTACTGGAACTTTGGCCTGATTTTGGAGCAACTTTTAAAATTTATAAAATTTTAATTGGAACTTGTCTAAACATCTTACAGAACATACTGTAAAAGGTATATGAAGTAATTCATTCATAGCCACTTTTGACAAAATACTATGTACTTATAGTCCTCAGAACATGGTTTTCATGACAAATGGTGAAAAAATGAATTCTCAATTTTTATCACAATTTCTTACTGTTGCTATACTATAATTGGTAAGCAATAAAGTGATAGTGTTTTGAAGAGATACACTTGCTATTGTTGAGGGACAAGTAGGAGAAGGAACAATTGAACCTAAAAATAAAACAACAATAAATAAATAACAGCAATTCTTGTTAATAATACTTGTAATGCTAGTTGATGTTCTGGTTTCAGAAGTGGTAGAGATGAGCAACCGAGAAGAAGAAGAATGGATGGATGATGAAGGAGAAGGAGTAAGTGAAGAAGATTTATAAGAGGTTGGTGAAGAAGATGGTAAAGGAGATACTGAAGGTAAATGTGAGGAGGAGAGTGAGGGAGTTGGTGAAGGAGATTTATAGGAAGAAGAAGGTGAAGGAGATAATGGAGTTGATGAAGGAGATGGAGATGGGGACAATGAAGATGATGGTGAAGGAGAGCTAAAAGATGACAAAACTGAAGTTTTGATGACTGAAGATGATGTCATCGAAGATGAAATCACAGATGATGATGTCACAGATGATGATGGCATAACAGATGATGATGTCATAGAAGATGACATCACAGATGATGATGCCATGGAAGATG